GCTGTAAGACCTAATATATATCTGGATAGCTTTTCCCCATTTTCTCTTCAACAACTGACTGCAATGATTTCATCATCTGAATCATCAACGTGTCTTTTAGACCCCATCCCAACTAGGCTACGTAAGGAAGTCTTACCTTTAGTTAACACTCACATATAAGACATATAAGATAAATATATCTTTATTAACAGGCTATGTACCACAGTCTTTTAAGGTAGCTGTAATTAAACCTTTTCTAAAAAAGCCCACCGTGGATCCTGAGGTGTTAGCCAACTATAGACCAATTGGAGAAAGTAGTCGCAGACCAGCTGTGTGATTTTCTCCATGATAGTAATTTATTTGAGGAATTTCAGTCAGGATTTAGAGTACATTTAGCACTGAGACAGCACTAGTTAATATTACAAATGACCTTCTGATTGCTTCAGACAAAAGACTCATCTCTGTACTTGTTTATTAGATCTTAGTGCGGCATTTGACACAATTGACCATCAAATTCTGCTACAGAGCCTGGATCATTTAATTGGCCTAAAAGGTTCTGCACTAAGCTGATATAAATCTTATTTATCTGATCGTTTTCAGTTCATTCATTTTAATGAGGAATCATCTCTACGTACTAAAGTTTGTTTTGGAGTTCCACAAGGTTCTGTGCTCGGACCAATCCTATTCACTCTATATATGCTTCCCTTAGGTAACATCATTAGAAATCATTCTGTAAATTTCCATTGTTATGCGGATTATACACAATTTTATTTATCGATTAAGCCAGAAGAAACTTATCAATTAACTAAACTTCAAAAATGCCTTAAAGACATAAAAATCTGTATGAGCACCAATTTCCTTATGTTAAATTCAGACAAAACTGAAGTTATTGTTCTTGGCCCCAAACAACTCAGAGACTCTTTATCTGATGATATAGTTTCTCTGGATGGCCTTGCTCTGGCCTCTAGCACTACCGTAAGAAACCTCGGAGTAACATTTCACCAAGATTTGTTTTTTAATTCCCATTTAAAACAAACCTCACGGACTGCATTTTTTCATCTGCGTAATATTGCAGAAATTAGGCCTATCCTGACCCAAAAAGATGCAGAAAAATTGGTCCACGCTTTTGTTACCTCTAGGCTGGATTACTGTAACTCCCTATTATCAGGTCGCTCTAATAAGTCTTTAAAAACGCTCCAGCTAATTCAGAATGCAGCTGCACGTGTACTAACAGGAACTAAGAAACGAGATCATGTTTCTCCTGTTTTAGCTTCTCTGCACTGGCTCCCTGTAAAATCCAGAATTGAATTTAAAATCCTACTGTTAACTTATAAAGCTCTAAATGGTCAAGCTCCGTCATATCTTAGAGAGCTCATAGTGCCCTATTATCCCACCAGAACACTGTGCTCTGAGAATGCAGGGTTACTCATGGTCCCTAAAGTCTCCAAAAGTAGATCAGGAGCTAGAGCCTTCAGCTATCAGGCTCCTCTCCTGTGGAATCATCTTCCTGTTGCAGTCCGGGAGGCAGACACCGTCTCCACATTTAAGACTAGACTTAAGACTTTCCTTTTTGATAAAGCTCATAGTTAGGGCTGGCTCAAGCTTCCCTTGTACCAACCCCTAGTGAGGCGGACTTAGGCCTAGTCTGCCAGGGTCCTCCTGTAATACACAGAGCACCTTCTCTCTCTCTCTCTCTCTCTCTCTCTCTCTCTCTTGTCCTGATCCCAGCAGAATGATGCTTCCAGGGTGGATTTCAGGAACAAAATGTAATAAAACTTTTAAAGTGGTCAAATATATATTTATATAAGTGTCTTTATATTTTGCACTTGATTCGTTTACCATTTACCATGATAAAGAAGACAAAGCATTAGACAAAAAAGGATGTCCCCACAAAATAATCTCACAAATAGCTGAAAAAGAAAAAAAAATCAAAGATCTTTGTTTTGTTGTCTTTGACGTACCTGTGTTGATAAGTGCTAATTGCAGTGTTCTGTTGGCAGACTGCCTACATTGTGATATGTAGTCCCATTTAGAGCAGTGGTGTCCGGATTAGGCAATCTTGAAAAGTCTGTATCTGGATCAGGGAGATCCAATCCAATGTTCGAATGATTTCAAAATTTGGACCATTCTGATCCAGAATAAATTTTTTGAAGAAGTGGGCCTTGATTCAACATCAATTTTATTTACAGTAATTGTGGCTAAATATTAGCGCAGAGAGAAAAAAAAAAGCCTCATACTCTGGGATTGACCTCAGTGCTGGTAGGCTACTCTCTCTGAGCTAAGTTAGCCACATCCAAAGAAACTCTAGTTCTCTAACTTTATTATTCATTCATTTATTGTCATAATTATGTGACCCCCATGCAGAAAATCACCTAAAGTCAGTCTGATGGCATATGCGTGTTTGTAGAAAAATTAAAATTTAGGCCCAAACATAATGTGTGCAGGCAGCACCATTTTTTTTGCCTTGACACAAAGTATGGTCTTTGTGCACTCAATAACCTTATTTACTTTACCTTAAAGCCACTGAAAACTACAAGACTTCCAAAATCTCAACATTGTTTACACGCTGACATCATTTGTGTCGATGCGCAAGTGACAAGTGATCTCATGTGCACTTATTACAACATTATACCAGATCTGCGGCTAGAGCAAATGATGTGTGTGGTCACCTCACTCCTTCTCTGCCCCCTGTCCCCTGTTGCAATTTCATTGGATACAGCTCATATCCTGTCTCAAACCTATCACCAAGATGCAGCAACTACAAGCACATCCTGTTTTAGGATGCACTAAAATCAAACAGGTTGGTAAACTGTTGTATTGTCCCAGACAGCTCACAACAAAGTCAAAAGCTAGACGACCCGTGTTGACAAGTCATGTTGTCTGCATTAGGCTTAATTTAGTATTTTGTCCCCTGAAATTATCACTCAGTACGTTTGCATGCACAGTTAAGTGGAGCTACAGTTACAGCTCGACTGGGCCATTTAACTGGACTACTGTCCTTGTCCCAGTATACAAGCATGGGAGGGGAATCGATGTAATGATAGAAGTATATCAGACTCCATTACAATAAGTGGCGATATGCCCCCTTTCAGCTTGTTAGTATTGGACCTTTTCTGGTTGACCTATTACGTCACAGACCAAACAATCGCCGTTCTGTGTTTTCCTCCCATCCATGTATTTTAAAATGTTTAACTCTTTCAGCTGACAAAGCATGAACTGTGTCTCCTGGTCCATCCAAAAATGCAGAGGTCTGACTGTAGATTTTACTTTGTTGTTACCAGCTTCTACTTCTATTATGCAATAACGCTTAATGCTATTTGATTTCCAGGTCAAAACCCGGGACAGGAACTGTGGAGTATATGCAGAGTGCCGAGTCAGTTTGGGTCTGACTGCCTGTATACATGCAGGAGTAATTCGACTCTCAATCACATTGTCTGGGTGTGTTAGTTTGAATTTGAGAAATCTGATTTAGTACAGTTGCAATTGGACTAATACGTTTACATGTATTTTAAAAGTTTTAAATAGTTAAACTAACACAATAAGTCCATTTTCTTAAATGTCATGTAAATGTACTGAGTATGTAAAATTAATTTAACAAATAAGTGTGTTCTGCAGAAGGGTGGCAAATGTATCTCTGAGTGACAAATGGTCAAATTTTGATGATTATTTGAAGTAAAATATGGCAGATGTTTACCTCTCACATTTACTGAAAGGGGTTAGTCATGACTGTGTGATTGCTGTTTATCAATGTTAATTATTGCTCAGTGTATATCTGTCCATGTATCTGTGTATGTTCGTGGGTCTGTGCTTGCATGTGTGCATTTTGTGCATCTGTGTGTATTTTCTAGGGCTGTATTCAACCCAAAAAAAACTCGGTTGAATTAAATTCTACCTACTCTTCAACCAATTGGTTGATGGGGGAGAAAGATTTTAACGTTATCTCTAGATTAGCTAAATCGCCACAGTGCACTAAGTGCGCTCTACCTGGTAGTGTTGTGTGTCCATCAAAGCATTTTTTTCCTGTTGCAGGACTCGACATTAACACTTTCCCAGGGCAAGTAAATTCTCTGTTCAGGCAAGTGGAGTGCCCTGAGAGAAAAATAAATGTGATGTCCATGGTAATATAAAATGAAAATAAACTGTGCTCTGTATCACTGGGAGCGTCCACCTGAGCTGCATGCACAAGTCCATCTCACCACCAAGAACTAAACAGGACTGATAATAGAACGGAACAGCTGAAGGCTCAAGAGCCCATGAGAGTCAAGCAGGCAGATGGTTATGAGTTGAATTGCAGAAGAGGATCTCAGAGAACAGGAGGGTGTGTAGATATGAAGGAGTTCAGATAGGTAGGAAGGGGCTTGATTATGAAGGGCCTTAAAGGTGAGAAGCAGAATCTTGAAATTAATGTGATTTCAAGATTAACAGAAAGCCAGTGAAGTTGCTGGAGAACAGGAGTGATATGATCTATGGAGGAGGTTCTAGTAATAATATGGGCGGCTGAATTCTGGACCAATTGAAGTTTATGAAGACACTTGAGAGGGGGACCAAAGAGGACAGAATTGCAATAATCAAGAGGGGATGTAACCAAAGAGTGAACAAGGATAGCAGCTCTGTGAGGTGTAACTGACAGGCAAAGACGATGAATATTATGTAGATGAAAGTATGCAGACCACGCAACATTATTGATGTTTACGTTTAAAAATGAGAGTTGAAAAATGTTTAACTTTGGGTAAAACGCTGCGCTTGTCACTGTCACTAGCCATCCATTCACAGTGGAGAAGGGCTGGGACAAATACCACAAAGACCAACCGTCACAGACGACAAATACAGGTGCTGAACAAAGGCTTTGGTGGACACCGGCAACTGAGCATACTGACCAACTAATCGACCAACTGAACAGAAGTGTACAGCCCTGGTATATTCATAAGCTTTCTGTCTTTGTTTCTTTTGTCTGTGTGTGCAAGTCTCTGAGCTTGTCTTCATGTATATTGTGCGTGTTTTCCGTGTGTATGCGTTTGCAGGAATTCTCCCTGCTTTATGAAGAGGCCAGTTTCTTCCAGCTGGCTCCTCTGCAGGCTGAGCTGGAGCGCTGGAGGACTGAGCAGGAATGCGGGGGTGTGTGTCTGGAGTGTGAGTGTGTCATGATTCATGTGGCACCAGAGCTTGGTGAGAGGATCAGCGTGAGCGCCCAACAGGCTGTGATCGAGGAGGTTTTTCCCGAGGTCAGAGACATCATGTCCAGTTCCTTGAACACCAGCTGGAGTGAGGACTCAACACACATCATTCGCTTCCCACTCAACAGCTACTGCCACCTCAACTCTATCCAGGTACAAAACACACAGTTTGAATTTCAAACCCTTCAACACCTATTAGCATATTCCAAACTGCAATTACCGCCCCGTAGTTGTATGCCTCTATGCATCAGTCAAGTTTCTCTTAGAGTTTACATCCATGTCTGAATGCTTCACACCCATTGTCCCCCCGACAGCACAAAAGATCTATACAATCAACACAGCTTCAAGATTAGTGTTACCAATTTAGTATCTGACCAAATGTCTCCCCTTCTGTTCTTGAGTTATGATATTGAATAATGGCCAGAAAGGTGTTAAATGCAGAACACTACGATGACACAGTGAAGCTAACCTTTAATGTTTTGGATATAAAATAATCATTGTATCCTCTTGAGCATTTGTGTGAAGTTTTGTCATAATTAGCGTAAAAATTCTTGCGTTCGAATAAAGTCCCTCCAGGTACTCTGGCGATATCTCACTCACAAGAATGAGACGAATGCATGACGTTTATGCCAAATTTGAGGCAATGCCTTCAAGGTGTTCTTAATATATAGTGTTCTCAAGAATGAGATGTATGCAAGGTTACAGTGACGTTGACCTTTGACCTTTGACCACTAAATTCTGATCAGTGTCAAATTTGCAGAAACTCCCTCCAGGTGCTGTGGAGTTATCCAGTTCTCAAAAGTGAGACATATGCAAGGTCACAGTGATCTTGACCTTTGACAAACAAAATAGGTCTATTTCACAGATCGCGAGCAGGAAACTGATGTAGGGAAAATCTGCATCCGGTTAACTTAACTTTTGGGTAGAAACAATGGCGGAGTCAAGAAGCAGTCAGACGTGTAGCATACCTTTTTGCTCAAATTCGAAGAAAAAACAACGATAGGCCTATTTGTCATTTCACGGCTTTCCAACAGACGAGGATCTAAGACGGAGATGGATTTTGTCAATAAGAAGAAATCAAGGAGTGGGATTTACCATGAAGAGAGGCAACACTTGTGTGTGCCCTGTACTTTAAGGAGGAAGAAGTCTTGGCCCACCCAGAGTCTGGTAGGAAATGTTCGAAACCTCAGGCTGTACCGTCAAGATTTCAGTGGATTTACTGGGGAGAATGTAAACAGTGCCAGACTCAAACGGCCGGAAGAAGTGGTTGTAATGTGGAGGAAACATCATGTTCCTTCTGCAGTGATGGTGCAGGAACATGACTACAACTGTCATCCTCCTTCGGGTGAGTGTAGCATGTTGCTAACGACTTGGATAAATACAGTAGCCACACGTAGTCACAATGAGTCAATATCAGTTTCAGTTATTAATCTGTAAAAAGATAATTACCTAAGATACCGTTACACACTTGACAACCTAATGTTGTGGAATAAAAATCTATGTCTAGCATATGTTAACAGTTCCCCAGTCTTAACGTTAGCTTGACTCCAAGCAAGCGTCTTGTGCCAGAAGTTATGGGAATGACTGTAGTTTTGTCAGTGTTTAACGTTACGTGCTAATAAAGTGTCTGTCGTAACGACACGTTTCGAGTTTTTGATAATGACACGACAGGGCATCTAACTCCTTGAATAGATGTAAAAAAAGTTTAATAGAAGCTTTCCAGTCTTAACATTAGCTTGGCTATGAACATGAGCATACAGCATTATGACTATGGTTTTGTCCATTTATACATGTTAGTAAGGTGACTGTCGTAACATTATCTCACCAGGATAAAATAATGGCATGTGACAGTATTTAATATATGAAATAATTGTAAGAAAAGTTTGATAGCATCCCTCCAGTCCTAATGTTAGCTTGGTTATGTTTGTCAGCAGAGGATCAATGAGAAGGGAGAGTGAAGTTCAGTTGTCCTCACATTTTGTGTAAGTGTAATTTCTTATAGAAAATATTAATGCTTGTTTTACTGCTTGCTTTTATTTATTCAGGTGCACTGGAAAAAATAAAGGAGTTGGATGATCGGGTGTCGAGCCTTACTCTCTCTGGAACATTACTGGATAGATGGTGTGTGTCTGAAGAAGACTACAGGTACTTCACACGGTTCCCATCCAAACATGTCTTTTTTGTTTTCTGGAGATCTGTTGAGCCCTCTGCATCCAGGATTGTGTACTGGTCCAAAGCAAGCAGGATTGGAATTGCCACTATGGAGAAAGAGGTTATCAGACCAAGCCCAAGACGTAAACTTCAGCTTATTGATGAGTTTTTCATGTTTTGCCTGCCTGTCGCTGCTGGCCTCAGAGATAGGGTTTTGGCTGAGATAATTGGGGTGGGCATTTCTACAGTGAGCCATGTTTTGATCACATGGTCTAATTACTTGTACCTTGTGTTGGGATCAGTTTAAATCTGGATGACGCGGGAGCAGGTGAGAAAAACAATGCCTGTTAAATTCCAGCAGTACAGCCCAAATCTGAGGGTCATTGTTGACTGTACAGAGTTCAGTTGCGAGACCCAGAGGCACTTACCCTTCTCTCCGAGACATTCTCCATGTACAAGAGCTATACTACATTCAAGGCATCAATTGGAGTTGTACCCTGTGGTGCCATCACTTTTGCATCTAAACTATTCACTGGCTTGTCAGTGAAGATTCTCAGTCATCCAGGTCATGGTAATCCTAAGTGCTATATCATAGGCAACTGGACTTGCTTGCGTTTCTTGAAGACGTTTCACCTCTCATCCAAGAAGCTTCTTCAGTTCTAAATGACTGGTACGAATTTGCAGGATATTTGGGGTCATCAGGTGGGAACCTCCTTTCACCAGTGATTCGTCTAGTTGGTCCCACGACAGTGATCTCTAGCGTCCCAGAGACACTAGAGATCACTGTGTGGGTGGGAACCCTTGCAGAGTCGTAGGGGGTCACGTGAGCTCTTAGTTTCAGAGTCGTTAAGGTCACAATATGAGTCGTTGACCCACCTGACCCTACCGACTCACATAGTGGCCAGGTGGGTCAACAACTCACTTACGATATTCACTGGCTCAATCTCTGACAAGAAGTTGACAAGGCAGTCAGGGATTTTGGAGTTACTGGAGCCAGGGAATGAGATCATGACAGACAAGGGCTTCCTCATTGAAAAGCTGTTGGTGGATGGTCGGGCCAAATTGATCATTCCACCAGTGGCAGTTCTAGCCTAAATGGCGCCCTGGGTGACACCCCCCCTATGGCCACCTACCCCCCTTAAAAAAGAAAAGCCAGTTCAGTAGAGAGGAAACTGACAGGACCCAGGCCATAGCCAGACTCTGTATTCTTGTTGAACGAGCAATTAGACAGATAAAAGAGTCCTGCATTTGGGCATGGTGAACTATCAGGGTCCTTTAGATCTTGAAGGTGAGGTCAAATACTGGGTAGAGTGAGCATGCTGCCTGGCTGTTGTTCTCTCTTCTCGTGATGCCAAAATTTGACACCTCATCAAAACCCTTCTTTCCTCTGACACCTCATCTCAATTAACAGACAGCTCCCCTTCTCATCAGTCGGAACAGGCAGCTCCTCCCATCATCAAAAGTCTCCTCTCCTCATCAATCAGAACAGACAGCTCATCTTATCATCCAAAGCCTCCCCTCCTTATTAGTCAGTAACACACAGCTCTTCTCATCATCAGTCAGTAACACACAGCTCCTCTTAAAATTATGTCTTTCCATTTTGTGTAACTGAGTGGTAACAACTGTTCTTATTTTCCTCAACAGAAACACGTACTTAAAGTGCTCCAGGCATTCAAAAAAATGGGATCCTCTCCATCTCTCGCCAGGTAAATATTTCCTCTATTAATTTCACCCTCATACAACTGTGATAAAATGCATTATCTTAATGTATTTTTGTACTTTAGCACTTAACCTACTCTTAGTGACCTATTAGTAATCAGGGTTATATGGACAACATTACTATCAGCAGATTATTTTGTCAATCTATTTAGCTGCGAACCATGTGCATCAATGCGTCTCTAGTTTATAGTCTATAATCAGAGGTGACTGCAGAGTATGAAATTGAAATGATTTCTTCTATCAAGGAATCATTGGGAAGTGTCTCCAGAAAATCAACGTGGAGGACAAGAAGGAGAACCATTGCTGTGTCAGTAACCACCTCCTTCCCTCTGACACGTCAGTCTCCAACTGCGTGGGTCGGGGCATCTTCTGACGTAAGACACTCTACCACAAATCAGACAGCATCAAGCTGTTCTCACAAATTGTCATGGATAAGGACATTGTTGTCGGCATCAAGGAGAGTGGCAACTGAGCCTAGTTGAATGCACACTTCTTCAGGTGCTCCTTGTGTTGACCCCTTTACGTTACTGGGTGTGTTGTGGTTTTCTTGCTCCAGGTGAACAAAGGCACAGCTTGTCGCAATGGAACAGATGGAGAGACCACGACACAAGGTGAAAATGGATTATATTTACATTCTAATTGAAAACATGCAAGCGCAAGCCTTCTTTATCGAGAAATCTTTACAATTCTCTGCACATTTTAGCAACATAATGCAGAATGAGCACAACCACCACAGCATACAAACATCCTGTGGCTTATTGTTCTACAGGTCTCAATAGGCTCTCGAAGCACTGTACCCAGTATAAGAGGTATGGTTGGGATTTGCCAAGTGGAGGCGTGTTATCAGGATCTCAGACGGTTATTAATTTTGAATTGATTTTAATGTTCTCCTCCAGAATGGCCTGGTACCTACTGTGGAGCCAGAGATCCCGCCTGACACAGACCATGACCTGCTAGGCTGCCAGTACATCACACAAAATGTTGGTTGGTGGGATTTGTCTTAGTCGTCTTAGTCTGCCAAATTACCAGCAGTGAAACATTTTCCCCCCAGATATTTCAAAGCATGTATAGTAATATATTGCTTTTAACAAAGCAGTTTAAGAAAAACACAGAGGACTAAGTTTCCCGGCGGCATGCTGCTTTCTGTGTCTTTCCAGCAACCTGGTCTGTCTGGAGGCCAGATTGAGAATTACATTAGCCAGGGTGCCCATCCATTGTCTTTGGAAGCTGACCTTCTCTTACAGCTATGAACTCCAGGCCTTTTCTCTTGCAGCCTGGCAGGAGGAAAGCTGCTAACAAGGCAGTTGCACAGGTAGCTTTCTGCAGCAGGGCCAAGATAAGTATCACAGAGCATGAACAACAACGTCATTAATATTTAGTAAGCACCGCAAGATGTTTTCTTGAACATACCCATCTGCTTTAAGACTTGTAACATCCACTCTCAGGATCTGAACACATGAGGTCCTTTAACCCATGCTATCTGTCTTCATTGATTTGAAATAATTATGTTTTTTTTAATAATTAGAAAGAACTGTAACAGTTTCAAAAATCCTATATTGAACCACAGTGCACAATAGATTTAATTTACAACCAAATTCAGCAATTAATTTACCCTTACACTACTACATTTATAGAAAAACAAACACATAGTTATTTAATAGATTTCATACTTCAGTAGATCAAAACAGTAGATCTTCATTCATTAGTTTGCAGTGGTGGAAATTAATTAAATACATTTACTTTAAAACTGTACTCAGGTACAGTTTTGGGGGTACCTGTACTTAAATCCAGTTTCTCCGCAGCATGTTTCCTAAGACTTGTACTCAACCACATTTCAAAGGCAAATATTGTACTTTTTACTCTTAAATTTTAACAGCTGTAGTTATAAATAATGTTGACATTTTTCTTTAAAAACTTACGATAGGCTTAAGAATATTTAAAGGGATACTTTGCTGATTTCTAACCAGCTCTGTATCATAACAATGTGGGTAGCATGTGTAAATGAACTGTGCTAAACTTCCCTCCATCTTACCAGCACCCAGATCCCCCTGCTTATCTCTTAGCTCTAAATTTTTGCTGGCTCTGGGGCTTTTGCTTGAACTACTGATTGTACCTTTGCATTTTCATATGCCCACCACCACGGATACAAAGAGTATAGATACAGATAGAGTGAGATAGAGCCTCTCTCTCTTGCGCTCTCAAACCTAGACAGAACTGAGATCGATCAGTAAAACTAGGCAGTGCTGGTGAACCAAATTCTGTTACTCTTTTCAGATATCATCAAAATCATATTTTAAGTTACTCTTTAACTGTAGATTGTTACCAGCTGGCCGCCACACTGTTAGATTGAACTGTAAAACTACACAGTGCTGATCAAATATGAACCAAGATTCTGTCACTGCATTGCCTGTTTCTTGCCTCAGTTGTTTTCAGAAACATATTTTAACTTACTGTGTAGCGGCCATACAAGATTGTTTGCTACCAGCTGGCCCCCACATTGTTTCCTGTGTAAAAACATAGTATACCAGTCATTGTTGCCAGTTTTATATGGAATGGGTACTTTTATCTCCAAATAATGTTTCTGTACTTTCACCTCAGTAGAATCTTGAACTCGAGACTTATACTTGTAGTGGAGTATTCAATTTTTGCATTTGTAGTTTAATTAAAATGAATTGTACCAAATCTTAATATTTTTTCCTCCACTGTCAGTATGTCACTTTTTGTTGTCACTTTTTGCTCCCTAGCAAAACATGAATGTAAGTCGAAGTAGAAGTCATCAACCTTGGCCATGATTTCTTTCATGAGCTCATCATCTCTCCACATCCTCTCCACTGTGAAGTCAGTCCTGGTATCTGTCACCAGATCACACCAAGCTAAGCCAGTGATTGTGAGCTGACCCTGGATTTGCCAGTGGTTAGGTGTGCTTTTTCTTCAGTTTAAATTGACCCTGAACAAACTCGAATTGTGATGCCTCTCCTATGTCTTCTTCATCAGGGCACTTGACCTCAACTAGGCCATAGGGAGGGTCCTCACTTGGGTTCACCACTTTGCCAAGGTGTGGAGCATTGGGGCGAATGACAAGACCACATGGAAAAACATTAACATAAAATGTCTCTGCATAGCGCCGAAGAACCTGTTGCTCAAGTTCCACTCATCTACACATGGCCATGGTCTGCGGGGCACCCTTAAAAATTCTTGTGTGTGAATGTTTCTGCACTGGACTCTGACCTCACATGACCTACCTCATAAAACTTACTTGCAGTAAGCCTAGGGTGACGCATGCTAACCTAGAGTGGGCTGTTGAATTGATCCTGTGTTCCCTCTTCAGTTATCCCTGACATTTCAGGTGACACCTATAAACTCTGCATATGCACTTGTTCAGCCCAGCAACCAGGAACAGAATGGTGTGTTGGAAGAGGGTGTAATGTGAGAAAGGTAGTGAGGGAAATTTAGAAAAGTTTGGATGGTGAAGTACATCCTTGGGCAACACAGCTGTACACTGATATGATAAGAGTGAACCCTTTGGGACAGCTCCAAATTTTGATTCCACCATAGTGAGAGCAGACATTCCATCAACAATCTTTGCTGTGGTCCAAGAGGAATGTGGGATGCTGCTCCAGCAAATACATCACTGTCAGGCAAAGGTCCTAAAACAACGTAATCATGTCTTTGTGTCTCTGTATATTTCTTGTAACCTTATGTGAAGATATATTTTTATTAGTATTTGGATATTAAAATTACCTCCATAAAGCTTTGTACAGCGTAGACTGCACAGTTCCTGCCAGAGGATTTAGGCTTTCACACTACAAGCTCATCCACTGGTTCTGGAGCTATGCCCTGACAGAATATGTCACATTTTGTGCAAGATTGTTAACTGTTTTCCAAATGTCATGGCCTTTTAAATTAGATTTTGTTGGTGACTGTTATCAAATTAAAAGGAATAAAGACTGAGTTATTTTTTCTTTTTCTTTTTCTTTTTCTTTTTACCTGGGTGCAGGGCCTGTGGCAGGCTTGCTGTTTGCTTGTGCAAGCAAGAGCAGCTGTAACATTTTTGGTTCCCAGAGTGCTAAAATGGGCTGTCTGGTAAAGTAATGCAACAAGTAGTTGCACAAACATCTTCCAGCAAACACAAGAGCATGTATATGCTGTCATCTCACGGGGTGTATTAGTAGTTTCAAAGGTGATCTGAAGAAAGTCAAAGTTGTCATATATTTCACAACTGTATGTAAAGTTGTTTATTGCACAATAAAGATGCACATGCTATGATAAGATAAGATTAACTTTATAAATCCAGATAGAAATGCTGTGCAGCAGTTGCAGTACAAAGTTGGAATGGTGTCTGGTGTGCAGGAGCTGGGCCTCCAGCCTACTCAGCTGTCATTCATCACTCATCATCTGCTCACTATAACAACCTGCCTCAAACAGCCAGACCTCGCCAGATTGTAGACTCAGTTCATGCTGTAAGTCTCTCTCCAGCCATTTCATTGTGCATTTTTGTCCTGCATGTTTTTTGTGAGGAATAACTACTTCTCTCTTCTGCCTCAGTTCATGTCCAGCACCGGTCTCCAACACCAGTCCTCTGTCCAGTCAGCAACCCAGTTACTCCTGCCATATCTGCCCAACTATCCACTCTGCCCTCACCTGGATCTCCACTGCGCTCCGCCTCTTCTCTCTGCCTTGGAGTCCACCATTCAAAACCCGTTACAGTACAATCTGTCCAATAATGGACTCTGCAGAGAATGAGGCTTTGAGACACGCTATTGCCCTGCAAGGCCAGCATTTAGGCCATCATGAGGTGACCCTAAAGCGTCGCTCAGAGCAGCTGCGGGAGGTCAGTTCAGCAATTGCTACACTCAATGAACGTTTAGCTTCAGCTCCAGCCACCCCACCTCAAGCTCCTAGCCCACAGCCAGCCTCAACTGACCAGCCAGTCCCTCCTGTTTCCGGCCCTGAACCAAACATTCCTCCACCAGCAAAATATTCTGGAGACCCTAATACTTGCTGACAATTTCTAACCCAGTGCCAGTTAGCTTTCAGTGCTCAGCCAATTCGTTACGCCAGTGAAGCGGCAAAAGTAGCTTACCTGGTCAATTTATACATACAAATATAAATAACAAATATAACAACAGAACAGATATAAGACCTAGGGAGATAAGGTGAGTTTAGTGGAAGCATCACATTAATGAACGGATTTATGAATCTAATGCATCCCTTTTATTGTGCTGTAAAATTAATTAACAGCCAGGGCTTTTATTTGCTTCAGTCATTGAACCACTTGTGTATATTTGTGGACAGGTATTTGTATGGGATGGGCTTTTAATTGCTTTTACACAAAACTCTTGCTAAGCAAAGATGAAATACTATTAAATTGTATATTTTAACCAGAATGAATATTACTTGTATAAAACGTAGAAACATGAATCATGAATCAATTATTTAATTACCAGACTGCACATGGAGAGAGAGATGGAGAAAAAAAGAGTTGACGGTAGTTTTAAGGACTAAAGTATCCACGGGGTGGCCATGGCTCAGAGGTAGAACGGGTTGTCCACCAATCAGAAGATCAGTAGTTCGATCCCCAGCTCTTTCTGTCGGTATGCCAAAGTATCTTTGAGCAAGATACTGAACCCCAAATTGCTCCCGATGGCTGTTCTATCGGTGTGTGAGTGACTTAAAAAAAAACTGAGTAGCATGTGTGGCACCTTGTATGGTAGTCTCGGCCACCAGTGTATGAATGTGTGTGTGACTGGGTGAATGTGACTCGTAGTGTAAAAAGCGCTTTGAGTGGTCGGATGACTAGAAAAGCGCTATACAAATGCAGGTCCATTTACCATTTGTGGACACAACACTTTTCTTTATCCTCTTAAAACAGGCAACACAACTTGGATTAATTTCTTTTTAACAGCGGATCCTTGCGGACTTAACACATACTTGGACTTTATGAAAAAGGTATGGGGTCGCCACTTTTTCTTCCCCTCTCTTGTTAAGCACTATCGTGCCGGTAAATCTGAATGAATTATACTTTGTTCCCCGTAGTTTTTTGTCCAAATAATTTCTATGCTGATAATCTACTTCGCACCAGAACCATGACTAATTAAGACATACGTATTTATCCACACCCGGCTAGCAAAGGGGATTTGGTGTTTAATTGCTGTTATATAGTAACCTATATCACATACATCATTCTACATAATGCCAGCATGTGCTGTTGGTATTATAAAACTATACATGCTGTTGGTATGGACACAGACAACTAGCAGGAAAGCAATTTAATCTTAGCTATGTAATATTACATGTATTTACCTCAAGCTGATGTGGCTCCTCCGCATCTGGCCCTAATCATCACTTTCCCTGCAGTTATATTTGAGACTTGACATGTACAAACACAAACACATAGGTTTTCACATCTCCCTGAAATTTTTCAACAAGACGAACAACATCTGCACTTGCAACTTTGGGCAAAGATATGACTATAATGACTGGGAGAAAATGCGCTGTACAGGCACATTTTCTCATAGTAGCAGTTCAAACAGTAAAACCTCAGGAAAGTAGTGACGGGAACTTTTTGTGAAATAGGCCTATCTAATCAGTTCATTGCAGAGTTCAAGTAGATGTTAAAGCCAAATTTAAAGTAATCCCCTCAAGGTGTTCTTGACATACTGCATTCATGATAAAGGGACGGACAGATGGACAGACAGACAGACAGACAGACAGAAAACCCAAAAACATAACGCCTCCAGCCATGGCTATCGTTGGCGCGAAGGCATAAAAATGTGAAAAGGTAGCATATCCCAAATTTCCAGGTCTGGCTAGACTAAATACTGTCATTTCACTCATGTATGTGGCTCACATTATTCCCAGCAGTGTGTTTACTCCAGCACTGTGGGTTACCAAGTTGAGCCTG